TGAGCATTGTAATATCTCAGTGAGCATTGTGACATCACATTGGAGGTTTGTGTTGGCATATTGGTGCATTGCTATGACACGCTGCGCACTATGGTGACACGTGAAACAATAGAATAGCACATTGGAGGATTGAGATAACACAATGGGGCATTGTGATGTCAAACTGAGTATTGTGGTGACACACTGACGCATTGTTATGGCACACTGAGGAGTGCGATGGCAGAATGAAGCATTGCAAAGACATATGTTAGAATTGTGAGGTCACAGTTAGGCATTCTGAAGACATATTTGAGCATTGTGATGGGATATTGGGCCACTGAAATGGCACAGTTGGGATTTGAGGGCACTCTGAAACATTTCGATTCCATACTGCAGCATTGTGATGGCCTATTGAACATTGTTGTGGTACATTGGGGCATTGTGATGACAAATTGATGCACTGTTATGGCACACTTAGCATTGGGATGTGATATTTGAGCATTATAATGACACATTGGAGGAGAGTTTTGGCACATTGAGCATTGTGATGACACACTGGGGGCACTGTGTTGGTGCACTGAGCACTGTGATGTCCCATTGGAGCGTTTTTCCACATGGGAGTATTTTGATGTCACATTGGAGCATTGTGATGACACTTTGGGGCATTCTGAAGGAACGTTTAGACTTGTGATAACGCATTGGTGCATTGTTATGCACACTGAGGAGTGTGATGTTAAAAACGGAGCATGTTGAAGACATACTGGAGCATTTTGGTAACACATAGAGTATGGTGATGCCACAATGGAGCATTATAATGAGATATTGGTCAATTGTCATGGCACACTGAATATTATGATGGCAAAGTGGAGCATTTTTAAGACATAATTGAGCATTATGATGGCATAATGGGGAAATTGAGAGCAGATTGAAGATTGTGATGGCACATTGAGAATTGTTATTACAAATTCGAGCATTGTAATGTCTCACTGAGCATTGTGACATCACATTGGAGCATTGTGATGTCACACAGGATCACTGTGATATTACAATGGAACACTGTGAAGTCATATTGTAACACTGTGATGGCACAATAGAGCAATATAATGGCACTGGCATAATGGGGAAATTGAGAGCAGATTGAAGATTGTGATGGCACATTGGAGCAAAATAATGGCACATGTGTCGATAGTGTTGGCATTGGAGCTCTGTGATGTAAGAATGGAGCATTGTTATTTCACAATGGAACATTGAGAAGTCATATTGTCACATTGTGATCACACATGGCAGGAATTTAATGGCATTGAGAGCAGATTGAAGATTGTGATGGCACATTGGAGCAAAATAATGGCACATGTGTCGATAGTGTTGGCATTGGAGCTCTGTGATGTAAGAATGGAGCATTGTTATTTCACAATGGAACATTGAGAAGTCATATTGTCACATTGTGATCACACATGGCAGGAATTTAATGGCATTGAGAGCAGATTGAAGATTGTGATGGCACATTGGAGCAAAATAATGGCACATGTGTCGATAGTGTTGGCATTGGAGCTCTGTGATGTAAGAATGGAGCATTGTTATTTCACAATGGAACATTGAGAAGTCATATTGTCACATTGTGATCACACATGGCAGGAATTTAATGGCATTGAGAGCAGATTGAAGATTGTGATGGCACATTGGAGCAAAATAATGGCACATGTGTCGATAGTGTTGGCATTGGAGCTCTGTGATGTAAGAATGGAGCATTGTTATTTCACAATGGAACATTGAGAAGTCATATTGTCACATTGTGATCACACATGGCAGGAATTTAATGGCATTGAGAGCAGATTGAAGATTGTGATGGCACATTGGAGCAAAATAATGGCACATGTGTCGATAGTGTTGGCATTGGAGCTCTGTGATGTAAGAATGGAGCATTGTTATTTCACAATGGAACATTGAGAAGTCATATTGTCACATTGTGATCACACATGGCAGGAATTTAATGGCATTGAGAGCAGATTGAAGATTGTGATGGCACATTGGAGCAAAATAATGGCACATGTGTCGATAGTGTTGGCATTGGAGCTCTGTGATGTAAGAATGGAGCATTGTTATTTCACAATGGAACATTGAGAAGTCATATTGTCACATTGTGATCACACATGGCAGGAATTTAATGGCATTGAGAGCAGATTGAAGATTGTGATGGCACATTGGAGCAAAATAATGGCACATGTGTCGATAGTGTTGGCATTGGAGCTCTGTGATGTAAGAATGGAGCATTGTTATTTCACAATGGAACATTGAGAAGTCATATTGTCACATTGTGATCACACATGGCAGGAATTTAATGGCATTGAGAGCAGATTGAAGATTGTGATGGCACATTGGAGCAAAATAATGGCACATGTGTCGATAGTGTTGGCATTGGAGCTCTGTGATGTAAGAATGGAGCATTGTTATTTCACAATGGAACATTGAGAAGTCATATTGTCACATTGTGATCACACATGGCAGGAATTTAATGGCATTGAGAGCAGATTGAAGATTGTGATGGCACATTGGAGCAAAATAATGGCACATGTGTCGATAGTGTTGGCATTGGAGCTCTGTGATGTAAGAATGGAGCATTGTTATTTCACAATGGAACATTGAGAAGTCATATTGTCACATTGTGATCACACATGGCAGGAATTTAATGGCATTGAGAGCAGATTGAAGATTGTGATGGCACATTGGAGCAAAATAATGGCACATGTGTCGATAGTGTTGGCATTGGAGCTCTGTGATGTAAGAATGGAGCATTGTTATTTCACAATGGAACATTGAGAAGTCATATTGTCACATTGTGATCACACATGGCAGGAATTTAATGGCATTGAGAGCAGATTGAAGATTGTGATGGCACATTGGAGCAAAATAATGGCACATGTGTCGATAGTGTTGGCATTGGAGCTCTGTGATGTAAGAATGGAGCATTGTTATTTCACAATGGAACATTGTGAAGTCATATTGTCACATTGTGATCACACATGGCAGGAATTTAATGGCATTGAGAGCAGATTGTAAGATTGTGATGGCACATTGGAGCAAAATAATGGCACATGTGTCGATAGTGTTGGCATTGGAGCTCTGTGATGTAAGAATGGAGCATTGTTATTTCACAATGGAACATTGAGAAGTCATGATGTAATATTGTGATAGCATATGGG